ATATCTGCTATTAGCTGGTGAAGAAACAGAGATACACAAGATATATTTGTCAGGACCGCTCAACTAGGGTCAAACAGGGAATTCATTTTAAAATGTGTATGTTGTGTTCACAGTGTGCATTGTGTAAGCTAGGTGTAATGTAGTATATGTATGTGCTATAATTTAGCTTTCATCTCTGATGCGGAGGCTTTTGGTTTCCGAACAGGAACAAATCAGTGTTGTCAGTGTTGGCTTGGACAACTGAAGCTACTAAAATATTAACATTACAAATAATCAGTACAGTTTAAGTTCACTATCTGTTATGTTTTAGAACAAGTTATTTCACATGTGGATAAAGATATAGTGATTTTAAGGCACATAGATGAAGAAAACAGAGGAAGTCGCTGAGACCGAAAGACCCACTGAATCCCCTCGTAGGTGGGAGTTGTGAGACCAGGTGCACGGAAACTGATCTTGCAACAGTATTTTTGTTTCCTGTGCAAAGCGCATACTTCCTGTGCATGCTGTGCACTTATTGTACATATCAATCAATCAGTCAGATTACAGGAACTAAGCAGTGTGACTTCATTCCCTGATCAGGTTTCAACTGATGTCACTGTGAGATATGAGAATATAATCCAGATAGTTGCAGTGATCAGTTCATCAGTGTTTTTGCACCTAAAAGTATAATCACTGAGTTGTCCATGTGAGCAGCTTTAATGCTTTTATATTACCGAGTTTTACCTGAATGGGCCTGTTTGGTTAAGCAGTGTGGTAACTATAATGTTTGTCATTTTAAATTAAAAGGGCTCTTTATTTTCTACAAATCTTTGGTTGTCTTTCAGCTGATGAACCCTCCTGATTGTCAGCTTGTCTTTTTTTTTTTAGACAAAGCCATGAAGGTGTTGCTGTGCTGTCTGGACAGTAAAGATACGGAAACCCGCTGTGTGGGAGCGTCTGCACTTTGGGCGTTGCTCCACAACAATCAGAGGGTACACACACACACACACACACACACACACACACACAACTGTATTGGCTGGTATTGGAGTTTACTGATGAAATATGTCAAATTAAATCTTGTCTGCTTGAAAGCTTCATTCTCATTGGATACAGTACAAATGACCAATGTTTTTGTTTACTGATTTCCGTTCGAAGGCCAAGACTTATTTGAAGTGTCCCTCTGTTCGATTGAGAATTGAGGAGGCACAAGCCGTCTCTAAGAAGGGTATGTATTTTAATAAAAACAAATCATCGTCTGTGCTGGAAATTGCGTCTGTAAATCTGAACGTACCAATATCAACAACCATTGTTCCATTGTTTACAATCGTGGTTTTTGTTGTTGTTTCTAAACTGCAGATGCAGAGAAGAAGCAAGAACCCACAAGTGCCTACCTGCTGAAGTGCCTCGAAAATCTTTCCGAGCTGCTAAATAGATGAATGAATTGTCTTTTTTTATAAATATTGTTTTGTATCATGTTTTATATCTATCAAGTAAGATTTAATGTGGATATTAAAATTGATCTTGGCTTGTCTACTTGTGGTCTCATTTCAGTAGAAGTTTTCGTGACAGCGATGATGTTTTTCAGCAGGACACCGGCTGTGGCTTTGAACACGTCTATTGTGGTGATGACGGTGTTAAGCTGCAGTTCCACACGATGCCCCCTTTGGTTAGTTGGTGGAAACCACAAGGTCTTACTTGCGCCTGCTGAATTACTTTCACTTTAAAACTGGAAACTTGTAATTGATCATTTGTGTTTTGAAATTGCAAAAATAAACACCAACTCAGATTTCACTTTCTATCCAGAAAACTTAATTAGAAACCCCACCATGCTGTATTATGTCACCAGCTTGCCGTTTATTCCCAGTCCTGGCGATAAAGTGCCCCCTCTGTGTGGAATGAGCTAACAGTGGGCTACCATGAAGTGTGTCCCAGTAGCTCAAGTTTTCTGTGTAGCCAGAGAGCTAGCAGGAAGTGCAGCTCGGGTGCCTCTTCACTTGTCTCATCAATGCAGCTTTCATTCTCCCTCGGTGGGGCAAGATGGAAGCTGTACAAAAGGACTACTGGTACTTCGTGGTACTTATCTTCCTCCCTTTTCTTAAAGGTATGCAGCTGACATATTTTTTAACGATTTTATAGTTTTAATGAATTGACTTGTGTCGTGGTGACGCTTTTACTCGGAATGTTGAATGTTGTCTTTCAGGATAATTTGAAAGGAGGGATTTTCCTAAAGTTTATAATCAGTGACTTAAAAAAAAAAAAAAAAAGTCCTTTTATTTCACATTTTATGTTTACTTTAATTGGATTGAGTGATGGTACAAAAGCTTGTTATTGTAAGTTTTGTGAGACATTGCTATTCTAAACCTACTGAAGCTCTCCCAGTGGCTTCACTAGACTTGAAATCAGTTGTCATTCAGCTCAGATAAAAGGCTTTGAAAACTTGGAAGCTTCATCACCAACTATTGTCAGTGGTGTTTATGTGTGCTGGCTCAAATTAGCCTAATCACCGTTACCCAAGGGGTGGCCTCAAAGCTGTGAATGCTGTGGTAATCTTCAAGTAGAGGAGATTTAGAGGGAAAACGGCCGTTTATGCCGCATTGCTTACACCTAAATACAAGTACTTGTTCATTTGTAGTTTCAGAACCAAGAAATGACATTATTAAAATGTAATCGATTATATAAATCCTGTCTGGAAGTTGGATTTACTGTTTTGTTTTTGGGAAAGAATAGTTAAGAATTAGTACTTTATCAAAGTCATGACATTGTGTGAAGATTGAGATGTTAACGAGCAATATCCTCCTGTCCAGTTGCTGTCCAGCAGAAAGAGGTTGTCACGGTCCGACTGGAGGAGGGGATGGTTCTGGACTGCTTGTGCCCCTGGGACGGCAACCTCAGCATGGTGTCCTGGACCAAAGTGCCAGACAAGGATCCGGTGGCTGTTTTCCATCCAGAGTACGGAGTGGCTTTTTCTCACCAGTACCGAGAGAGAATAGAGTTCCTGAGGACCACGCCTATGGACGGAAGCATCTCCCTGAGGAACGTCACTCATCAGGATATCGGGCTTTACCACTGCTCTGTTCAGACTTTCCCTCAGGGACCCTGGACCAGGAACATTCAGGTGGAAGATTTAGGTAAATGTCACGGCAGAAAAAAACGCTGAGCTGGAAATTCTGAGCCATGTCAGATCAACGCGCCCCCGCTGCATGAGATAAAAGAACTGATGTTGGAAATGAAACTTAACAGTGCTATCCTATCGTTTCCATGACACATTGAGATTTCTTTCTGTCTTTGACGAGCTGTGTCTCCCTCCTCCCTGTGCTTACAGATGAGCCACCAGAAGAAGACGACGGCACAGAGCCCCCGCCTCCAGAGGTGACCGTGGCGGACACCGAGTTAGTAGCGGAGCAGAACAACAACCTGACCATCAACTGCAACCACCAGCACAGTGGTACCGTCTACCAGGTCATTTTGGAGAAGATGCTGCACGGCGAGCCCTGGCACATCATCGGAGTGTGTAAGAAGGTGGAGGGCGGCCTGGTGGGAGAAGACTACAGCGACAGGGGTCAAGTCAACTGTGCAGACAGCCTCGACGTGAGTCTTCACATGACGGATGTGATGCAGGAAGACAGCGGTTTCTATCGCTGCACGTTCAACACAGATGCAGGTGTGAAGACCACCAGCGTGCAGCTCACTGTTACCGCTCCAGGTATGAGAACAGACACATACATTCAGCTGTGTGACTGGATGATGAATCTTTTCTCACGCTAAAGATGATCTATGGATGCAAACGTGCCTCACAGAGCAGAGTGATGGATGAAACATAATGAGCAATCCTTGTGATGTCAGTGTCATATGTTCACAAGTGATACAAAACTTGACTCATGCAAAAAACCACAACTTCTTGTGGCATGTTTTAGGATTCTGCAGAGCGCTGAGCTGCGTGTGGGTGTCTGTGTGAATGTTCGTCACATGTGCTATGAATATTGTGATGACGTATGTGTCATAAAACAAGTGTGAAATACATCATTCACCACAAACACTAAATGTGAGATTAACTGGAGAAACCAGCTTTCAGGCTGTTTTGGTCCTTTTCACATTATTGTTTGTTTGTTTTTCAACCAGGTGGATTCAGCCTGTCGTTATACATGATGTATATTTACATCGGGGCGGGAGCTGCTGGACTTCTTCTACTCATTGCCATCCTCATAGTAGCAGTAAGACACAGGTGAGATGTGTGTTCACCAAACAAAACTTCAAAACTAAACTTGACTGCTGAAGATTGGTCTGTCTATTATTTGTGCTGAAGTTTCAGACAAACAACTGAGTGAACAAAACTAAGCTCTGTTTTCCGCCACATGCTCCTTGCTCATAGGCTTAATGCTGATCATGTGTTCTCTGCCACTTTAGATTGGTTCTGCTTAACTTATTTCTGTTTTGACTGGTATTTTAAGTTGGTCTATAAAGCTGAGTAAAGTCACTGCATGCTTTAAATTTGCAATAATCATTGCAGTGCCCAAGAAGCCCATTATTAGCTGCTCAAATGGCTACAGGCCTGATGCCTCAACATCTGTTGTAATGGAAGTGTTTGAGCGTGTAGCGTGGAAACATCTGCCCAGTGCTGAGCTACATCCAAATCAGTTAGCGTACATGGCCTTAAGGTCGGTGAATGATGCTGTATGTCTCTGTGTCCACTCCATCTTGCAGCATCTAGAAGCACCTGCCACCTCAGCTCAGCTTTTAATACAATAATGTCCATGAGGCTATATAACTAACTTTTGCAGCAAGATTTCTATCAGTCTCTCTGTCTGTGGGTTTTACTGCGCTGAACACATCAGCAACAACAGGTTTTCAAACTCATTACCCAACACATGACTGTATTTTATACTGCGACGTTGTTAAAATGACCAAGTTTGCTGATGCTACAAAGATGGCGGATTGATTTCTGTTATGAAGCAGTTTGTAGGAATCAGGTCAACTCACCATTTTTTATACACATTTGAAACAACAGCTGTTGAGCCGAAATGCTTCACAGGAGAGAAATGAGACTGGCATAGCTAACAAGTCTGAATAATAAGGTCAAGGCCCTGAACAATAACTACTAATGAACTTGTGAACTTTTGTAGAAAATTACAATGAGCTGCTAACTTACCAAAGATTATTCTTTATGAGACATTTGGAGTGCCCAGAGTAGCAATGATACAGTTTTAAAGAGCAACTATAGAAAGTCTGGCATGACAGTTCTATAGCTCTGGAAAAAACAAACAAAAATAAATTCATAGTCATACCTGTGCTCACAGCTTCAAAAAAAACTGTGTAAAGTTGTCACTTTTTCTGAACTACACCACATCCACTTGTAGTGCAAATGTTTTTTCACACCCTCACACCCTCCATTCAGTCATCTTCTACTTTTAAGACCAGAACATCCCACTTTCTCAAAAGCACTCACCTTGAAGCGAACCACATCCTGAGTGCTTAACTGGTTGTTTAAACGAGCACTTTATTCTGGCGCTTTAAGGACATAGGCCACAATGTTGCACTAAGTCAGTCAGATCCATCCTCTAAAGACCATGAAACATGTCTGTACAGGATTTCATGGCAATCTGTCCAATAGTATTTAAGTCTGGACTAAGGTGGTAAAGCAGCTGGATTTTCCATTTCTAGGACTACAAGCCAATTGCATGGATAACAGATGTGACCCTGGTTTGTTATTGGTGCTTTTGGAAGAAATTACTGAATTAGGGAATTGCAGTCATCCTCAAATGTATTCACACCCGTCCATTAAAGAAAAGGCAAAAGACACAATCAGTCACACAAATAACTAGAAAATGAAAAAAGTAATAATAAATAAAAATTTACTAAATTATAATTTAGTGAAAGAAGACATTACTTTTGAATTGTGGTTGAAAAGAATAATTTAAAAAAACAAAAAACAAAACTGTCCAGGACAAACTAGAGCACTTTGCTGATGAGCAGTGGGTCAAAATCCAAACACCTGTCAACAGGTGCAGAAGTCTGATTGAGAGTTACAGAAACACTTGATTGCAGTGATCGGGTCAAAGGGTTGTTCAACAAAATGTTAGTTTACGGGTCCCATCATACTTGTTTTTTTGTTGTTTTTTTAATATTTCAGTTGAACCACAATTCAAAAGCAATGTCATGATTTTCATTATTTATTATTACTTTTGTCAATTTCAACTTATTTCAATGACAGCTGTTTTTTCCTTCTTTAATGAGAGGGTATGAACAAATTTGAGGACCACTGTACATCTGATATTTCCCCATTAAAGCTTTTTCTTCATGGGAGAAGCCAGTCTCTGAGTATTTAGGGTTCAACTGCAACTTCCCAGCTGGCCCGGACCCTCACCGCAACAACTTCTGTTTAACTCTATATCCAGTGCTATTTGCTTACATTTGTCTGATAATCACAGCAGAAAGAAGAACAGAAGAGAGGAGTACAGAGTCAAACTGCACCCATCTCAGAGACAGGTAGGTGTTTCGTTTTTCATTTTAACTACTCTCGCCTTCGCACTCGACGCTTTTAAGGCGCTCCCTTACCTTCTCATCAGACACGCGCTTCACTACGATGCCCTCACGCTTTACAAATAACCTTCTCTCATCTTTTAACCTGATACCTTTTAACTTCTGCTTGCTGACTTAACTAAAACTGCTTCACGACGACCAAGAGTGTAGTAAAGTTTGAATAATGTGTGAATAATGGTTAAAAATGTAATATTGTTACTGTATTTTTTATATATTTATATTAAATCTTGTGACAGACATTGTGGCGGCAGCTTTGCTACATTATTGGGATTATGCTGCATTCTTAATTCCCAGGAAACTGTTTTAATATTAAATATAAATCAATATTTGAAGTATAGCACATTTTGCTATAATTTTTCCTCATTGAATAGTACTTATTAGAATTTTCTTGCTATAATAACAGCTGTGTAATCTGATAAAGTAACCGTCAATGGAGATTTTATTACGTTTTGCCAAACTGCTGCACTGTTCGTCAATACATCATCATCTGTCTCATCTAACAGCTATGAACATTTCCCTCACACTCGCAGCCAAACTTCTATGAGAACATCCACGTGTGTCCCAGGGTGACAAAGAAGTCCAGGCAGATCAAAAATTGCCCGGTCTATGCCAACCTACACACCGTACGAGCCCTCAAAACCCAACATCGGCCTCACAATAAATGAACACATGTAAATACGATGTGCCGCATAATGTGAGAAGGTGCTTTTTTCTGTCAGCCTCTCACACACAAAGCACATCTTTTTTTTCTTTTTTTTTTAATCTCAGCAGAAATAGACATATATTGACAGATTGCAATCATTTATTTGAGTTTCTGTAATTAGATGCGGGGATCACAGTGACACTGATTAATATTCCTTCTGTGGTTGGAAATTAGTTAACAAGCTGGTGCTCCTCTAGAAGTCACAAAAGCTGACAGGGTTGTTTGGACCGGGCCCCGCTCCCTCTAATTAAATGTAGTATGTACTTCATAATTACTGCTGAGGAAATATTTGATTTGGGGAAAACAATATTTGACAGTAACCAGCACGCAGAAGAGCAGACAAAAGCCTGTATAATCACTCTTTTCACTTGTCTAACCCCCGAGTAAAACGATTGACAAAGGCCTGTGTAATTGCCCTCTTTTTACTTTCATCCCTCCTGGTTTCCATTCAAAGCCTGACAATGGTGTCTAATCATCTAACGGAAAAGAAAAGCAGTCACTCAGCGCTGTACCATCACTTGAGACTGTTGCTTTCCCCTTCGGGCTCTCTGTCTAGGATGGCTGCATTCTAGTTACAGCCGGCTCTTAGTATGAAAGCTAAACTCTAATTAGCTAATCCTGTGCTTTAGTTTGTAGCTCCTTTTACTTTGTCTGGCTGCTGTTAATTGATCAGTGTGTTTTTTTTACTGTAAAATATGAAAGTCATTTTTATGATAAGCTGTCAAAAGTTTTCCAAGTTGTTTTGATGATTTCTTTTTCTTTTTCTGAGCTTGTAAAATCAATATTTAAGGTTTTGTGGTATTCTAGTATTGTTAAGCTGTGTGCTGTTTGTGTGATCTGATTCATTTATCTCCATAGAAATGGAGGCAGTGGCAGAGGCAGTAATGGATATGCGGGCTATTCCGCTAGGAAACAAGACAAATGTGGACAAGGTAGAAATGTGGAACATAAAGGGACAATATAGTTGGGTATCACAAGTTTTTTTTTTTTTCCTTCATTCTCTCACCTCACTGTTGCCGCTGAAACAGTAGAAGAACTGTACATATGACTGTGACGACGCTTGTGATCCCGTGTGTGTGATCGGCAGTAATGAAACTGATGTGTGTGACTGTAAATGACTCTTGTGTGGTTCAAATAAAACAAAGTGTCATCGCCTCTACCTCGTCGAGTTTCCTGTGGTGTGGGAGTGGGTTAGAAGAAAGCTGAACGGAACGAATCACCTCCAATTTACTGTGAAATGAGAGTCTCTATGACTGAGTAACCACTCAAATTCTATAACGGAATATTTACATTCTGGCCAACAGTTCGTAGAAAGATTAGAAACAAGGAAGCTGGGTAAACTTATCCCATGATATACTAAACCAGTACTTTTTTTCCCCAGCAAGTTAGTACCAGTATAGTCTCAACTGCTAAATTCGTATCCTCTGGTGTGTCTTCTGGAAATATTATTCTGTTCTTAAGATTTGATTGATGACTTGGGGTTTTGTTGACTTTTAGATTTGCCCTGTGTTAGACTTTGGGGGCTTTTGTTTTAAAGAAAAAAATATATGTATAGTGCTAAACACATTTATTAGACCACCACCCAATGAGAGGTTTTGGTAACTACCAAAATCATTTTTTAAACGTTTCTATAAAGGTTAATACACCAGTATGTCAAAGCTCTTTAACCAAAATGATTTTTTTAATGCTAAAATATTATTAGTATTGTTATCCATGAATTTTCGAATTTACTGTTTTACAAAAACAAAATGAAAAAAAGCACATTAATATTTCTTGATTAAGATGTCAAATTATAGCTATTTACTTGCATTCCTGAACTGGCTGAATGTTGTGCTGCTATGCCAGTGAGCCGACCTAAACTTGGGTATAGAAAGGTGCATTCAGTTTGAAATTCCTCATTCCTGTTCAAAATAGTAAAACGGTGATGGCTGAGTGCCCATTAAAGCACTTCATGATGCCTGAAGGTCTACATATAAGTATATACATACAGTGCTTAACAAATTAGGTGGTTTGATAAATTTGTGAAGCACTGTACATTTTAATAACACCTGTCCTGTTGGCACAATGCACCTAAAGTAGCTGATGTCCACTGTGTGCTCCGGTCGCTGTTTCAGATGAGCTAGTGCTCACTTGATTCCTCTTTGAGTGCCTTCAAAATTTGCAGAGGTTGTGGCCCCAAATGAAAAAAAATTGTGTCGACCATACATAAGCTGCCACTCTGGGCTTTAAACAGGCCCCAATGCGAACCAAAATGTCCCCATTAGTTCATTAATCAGCACTTAATATGCCATTTGTATGATCTGCTCACGAAACCAAAATGTGGAAATGACAATTTGTAGTTTTACGGATGGTCTTGTGTCGTCTCAACTTCTGGAACAACAGGAGGTAACTATACCCTGATATTTAATAGTCTCCAGATTGCCACTAATTGCCATTTTTACACTTTTTTTAGTAGATTTTTTTGGGATGTTACTTTACTGCTTTCCCTGTTCGTAGACTTTATGCTAAAGCTAAGCGCTAAGCTGCTGGACTGTCTCTAGCGTAATAAAGTGATATTAATCTTCTAATGTAACTCTCGAGGAGAACCCTAATTTTAGTCTCTGTTATTAATAAGCCACACTTGAAACAACAGCTGTTGAGCTGCAGTGCTTTCAAATAAAGAAATAAGATTACACATTTATCAAACAAGTTTAAAAATTAAAATTACAATCCTGTGGTATTATTTGTTATATGAATGTAAGAGTCTAATTTAAGTATTGAGGCTAGGAACCTTGTACTAAAGTACCTTACTAAATAAAAAAATAAACCATAAAAAATCATAATGAAAAGCCCATGATGCAGTGATTTTAAATATGCCTACTGACATGAAAGAAATTCCTAATACATGATAGAACATTCAATTTATTACCTTTTTTTTCTTCTTTAAATCATCAAAAACATTACATATGTACATTTAGTGAAAACTGTAGTCCTACACTCGTGTGTTCAAAGTGCTATGAACGTATAATCTAAGAGAACACAAAACATGTCGGACACAAACACAATCGTATCGGAGCAGTAACGGAAATATACATGACACTTCTACGAACGGGCAAATGGCTACGATAAACAACAAAAAACCGGAATAATTAAACAATCAGCTAGTATTTTTCTCCAGTCATCTCAGTAAGTACGGCTCCCGACGTAGTGGAGCGATTAACATTTATGAACCACACTTGAGCTACGACTCGAGACAACTAGGGGGCGTAAATGAGGCCGGATATGTTGACGTCTCAACGCCGGCTCTGACAGGCTAACAACTGCCGTGTGGATGGGCACTTTGAGGCTCGAGTGAATGTGAGGGTTGGGTTCTGTTAAATAACAAAATAAAGTGACTACTGCAAACGTTAATTTCATAACACAAAAATAAGTCCTTGTACTTTTCCCAGACCTTTATAAATCTAATATCTACTGCATTTCTAGACATATACCTGAAACAAAACGACATCAGGAACAGAAAAACACTGAAGTGAGTGATTATATTTGACACTGAAAGACTGCTTTGCTGCCTAAAACTGATTGTCACTGGAAACCCTTTTGATTACACTATTGTAGCTGTAATGTCTGGATTTTGAAAGAAAAAAAAAAAAAAAGTAGGATGGCAAATTGGTGAACATCTGCCTTTACCACAAGTATTTAAGAGACGAATCCGTGTCTGGTGAGAGCCGCCAATGGGCAACAAGCGTTACACTCAGTATTTTTCAGCTGTGACATGGCTTTACCAGTTGGGGCTACAATACTTCAATAAAACTTAAGACTTTCTAAAGTGGTTTTGAAGGTACAGCATTAACAATTCTGTCAACAGTGGTAAACTCAAAGCCCAAAGCCGTTGCTTTGGTTATATCTCACACTCTGCGGTCTGTGTCGGAAGGCACTTCTTACTCTAAGAGGACGATGCAGAGAACATTCTCATCACGGCGCTCACATTCTCACATTTCAATCACGCTACAGGAACGACTTCATGAAATTATGTCATATAGGTTATCAGGTTTTGTTTCAGTGAGAGTTCACACTTCTCATTCATACTGTTGCTAGTGGATGGAGAGCGGGACTGTATAAGGGGTCTGACATTCTTCAAAAAAAGTGAACAGTTTAAATAGGTTAGTCAGGCCAGTGGGTCAGAAATAACGTGTGTTTTATGTTGTGTTTGCTTATAATTTGGCATTTTCTTCTGTCGGCAATAGACATTTCTGCTTTGTGAGAAGATCAATGCCACATCAATGCCATAGATTGTAAACAGAAGATGGAGGAAGCCTCTGGGTCTGAAAATTGAAATCAATACTGCATTCTTTCTAACAGGCAGCAGGGGGCGACTCTTCTGGTTGTAAAAAGAAGTGGGATATCAATACTTCCTCCTCGATCTCTCACCTCAGTAAACATTCTATTAATGACTTTATGTCCTCAATCCCCTTTTTCAGGACTTTTTGAATACAGCATGGTGTTTATTTTATAAATTATGGTCCCAATGAGAGAAAAACAGATGATAAAGCAGGATAGTTAAGAACAAGGCTGCCCTCTGATTGACAGGCCACGACTACATCACAAGTATCCTTGAGTTTTTAGTCACCTCTCGCTCCTTAGATCTGGTTTCAGAAGAGCAAAATTTCTACCTCGAGGCTTCGGAACAGTGGTGCACAAACCAATGGGTGATATCACTGCATCCATCTTCTATATACAATCTATGGTCTGCACAATAAACATGACGCTCCCACCAACAGGTTAACTCAGTTAGCTTAGCACAAAGACTGGAATCAATAACAAACAGCTAGCCCGGCTCTGTGGGTAACAAATTCCCAAAACCAGTCCCTCTAAAGATCACAAATGAACATGTTACATCTTATTTCTTTAATCTGTACAAAAACTTATCTGTAAAAATAGCAGGTTGTGGTTTTACAGGTGCTGGTTTACAGATTTTGTTACCTTTGCTCAGGGCTAGGCTAGCTGCTAAATAAAAAGACATGAGTGTGGTGTCAATCCTCTAATCTAACGTTAACAACGCTAGCAAATAACTATTGCTGTAATGATTTCACTGAGCACACATTTTCTCAATAAAACACCTTGATTCTAATATTCCTAGAATGTTAAATTTTGTACGAACTTGATGAACCAGCAGAAAAAAATAACATTACCATGATGTTTTATTGCCACAGTGTGCATCGAAGAGCCGCTAATGCCAAATGTACCTCTGCTTTACATAACTCACCCCATTAGATCGCTCTCTTTCCACCTTTAGCTAATGAACCAGTTATCAGATATACAGTTTGAGGCTGAAGAGGAGCTGGGAAGCTATTAAAATCAAATTGCTCCAGTGAAAGGTAAGGTTGGCAGTTTAAAGCAGAGGCTGTGAGAAGGTTGCATTTTATCATTTCTGACGTGACAGTCCACTCCTACATCCTTTAGGCCCGTTTCTGAATGACTTTTTCCTTTTTGCTGGTAGTAACCGATTAAGGGCTTTGAGCTGATTCATCACTGCCATCAGCATCAAGCTGTTTTTGTGTAAGGCATTGATCAATTTCACATTCTTAAGAGAAAGCTGAGTGCAGTCAGTGTGGGAGTACTATTATGTGTCAAAACTGCTGGAATTTCTCGCGAATTGGTTGCTGAGGCTGCACATCGCTGTAACGAGCCCGATGTGGTTTCATCAGTTTCAGAACAAAAAAAAGCCCTTTTTTTTTAAAACATTGTTTTACAGTGAACCTTGTTAACGTCTTGTAAGTGCAGTGATTTGAAAAAAAACAACAATAAATGGGGGCATCATGCTGGCTCTAACAGGATGATGGCAATATAAAATGCTTGAAAACTACACTTAAAGGATTTTTGGTGCAATCTTTGAAGCTACTTCTGCTGTCACACGACGACGCGAGGAAGGATACGACCTTCCTTTTTTCATGTACCGCTCGCTCTACAGTTGACACTATTGTTTGTAAGTATCACCAGGAAATGATATATTACACGTCACTATACATATTTCTACATCGTCTCTACAGTGGGGGGTAAAGTGTCCAGTGTTGCTCGAGCAATTCTCTGTCATTGGAGGGGTCTCAGGCTGCAACTCGACTCGCAGCCACTAGAGGGCGACGGCGCCTCTTCCTGGTGCTGGCTCTCCTCCTGTTCGTGCTCGTCAGACAGAAAGCTGGGGAACGTCTGTGCTCGAGGGATGAACGTCATCGTCAGGCCGCTTCCTGTGAGAGGGGGGGAAGAAAAAAAAAAGGGAGGGAGATAGAATCAATGGAGCAGGAATAAAATAAGTTGATGAGCTACATTCAACTGCTTCACAACCAAAATTGTACTCGTGGTACAACTGTTGCTTAGCTACTGTCCACGGTAATATCTTTGTAAAGAAATGAAAATTACAATAATAAAATGATTTTTTTTAAGATGTAGGTGGTTCTCAGGGAATATAGCAAACACAAAAAAAACAGCATAATACAACAATAGTAACAGATATTAAAAAAAAGCCGCCTTGTATCGCAGATGAACAACTTCATTTCACCGCCTCGTCTTCTTAGAACGTCTGCTGTCATCTCTCTTTCCTGCATCCTCCCTCACCACCTTAATTTAAATTAATTGGACCAATTTGTTCTGCACTTCATATTGGTTAAATGCACTGAGCGGGAGTAATGGATACTTGTGGGTGGAGGGCTGTTCTTGTGCAACTGTGAGACCATTAATAATATATTAGAATGCTGTTTGGAGATGTGCACACAGAGGTAGGTTGAGGATAAAGTGGCTGGCAGGCTGCTGATCATGCACCAAACAAGGAGGAAGTGGCCAGTGATCAATATTTCAGGAGGTGCAAAACCTAACACAACACTGTAATCAACTCTAACCTATAGCATATATGGGACCCCGATAACATAGCAGGCTCGCGAGTCAGTATATTTCAGACGTTGCAAATCAATTTCCCCACAGAGGTTAATTGAAATTTGATTAAGAAATTAAAATTGGATTGTTTTCTTCCAGGGCTATATTGCCGAAATTGACAAAGAGATCATTTTCTCCTCTGTTGTTTGTGCGGAAATTCATATTAGCAAATGTGATGTTAAGCTGTTCAAATCATTCATAAGTGTGTGTGTGTGTGTGTGTGTTCATGTGTGTGTGTGTGCAGCCAGCAGCTCCAGTCATGATGCCACCAAAGGGAGCCGAGTTCAGAGCGTGAGACGCGCCGCTAACTCACCACGACGTGGAATATAAAACATGACCCAGACAGCCTGGCAATCAATGTCAAGTGGCTGTGTGAGTGCATGTCAAAGCCACAGAGAGAGAAGAGAGAAGTCTGGTTTAAAAAAAAAAAAAAAAAAAAGAAGAGAAAGAGGAGTGTGAAGAGAAATGATGCGCAACTAAAGAAAGACACCGAGAAGGAAAACACAGAAAAAGCATTTTCCTGTGCGAGTTAAGGGAACAGCTTGCAGGAGGAAGCGCAGAGGGGCCGGTGTGGGTGTGAGGACGAGACCAAAACACCAGCCATAACAGGTGAGTCATACATACACACCTCTGTCTGCTAGCATTTTTTTTTTTTCCTTTTCACCACTCCCTGAAATCAAGAAAAATAAGATAGCTTAAAGGTTTTAAATGCAGCACAATCCACACTCTGGAATAAAAAAAGACTGCAGGTTTAAAAAAAAAAAAAAAAAGAGGGACCGCGTTGTACTTAATAGATTGCTGAAACGACTGGTGCGCAACCAGGCATATCCTTTTCACATCTTTGCCAAGACAATCCCTCTCCTCAACCAAGGCCAATTTGGGCTGGGAAAAAAAAAAAAAAAGAGGAGGCAGGGAGCCGAGTGCCGACAGAGAGGGTGAAGCAGATCTCATCATCTCCTCAGTCAGAAACAGTGGCGTTTGTTGTGTGGTGCCAGACCCCTGACGAGAGCCACGCTTTTGGACACAAATGTAGACACACTTACACGCACACACATACAGGGGGGGAAAAAAATCATAATAAAAACACAGAGAGATGATGGTGTCAGCATCCCTCCTCCTCTGCTGCCCCCCATGAGAAGCAGACAGTGATTTGTCAGTGCCTTTTCATTACCAGGGAAGGTCATGTCATCCTATCTGGCCTGGGGTGGCAGCTGCTGGGCCGGAGCAGACAGGACAAGGCAGGGAGGCCACTCACACACACACGCTGACGGAGAGAATAGCACAACCCGGATACACAGGCAGGGCCATTCATGCAAGCATGTTGACACACACACACACACACCTGTCTGCACCTCCTTTCCTCAAAAGTGTGACAACATAGATGGCATCCTGCTAACAACTAGAAACAGAGGCTGAATGTGCCACAAACTACGGATTATGCAGGAGTGCTGACATGCATCGGTGTCTCCTGCGTAGTAAAGAAGTGATAAAACATGAGGCTGGGTCAGTTCGTTTAAATTTGGATAATGTGCACTGATGGCTGAGGTGATAAACTTCCCAAGCATCCAGCAGGAAGATCCAGCTGAACTCAGTTTTACCTGCTTGTAATGAATTTTTCATGGGATTCAGTTGTTTTTTTTTTTTACATCTACATCTACAGTATTCCATGTTGCCTGTTGCAGATAAGATCGTGTTATCCTGTTCTGCTATCATCTTGTCCCCGTGCCTTTGATACTCGCTACCTCTCGGTAAAATCCCCTCGTATCGCTCCCAGCCGATCAAACTAAGAACAGCGCTCCGTTTCATTAGAATTGCTAATGCTACGGCACTAAACTGTGAAGCACAATAAAATGTAGAGTGGGGGAGAGTGCATGTGGAAAAGCAGCAAAAAAAAAAAGTGACACAAAAACGAGTACACGAAGAAATACAAGCATTCTTGTCCCTCCGCCTTCCCAATATTAGAGTTGGTAATTGAACCATTTCCGACAGGCGTGGCGCCTTGCTTTTCCAACTCCAGAACTTTAAAGTGCACTCATTTCTACGCATCAGCAAACTCGGAGAACACAGCGGTTTCACTCAAATGCAAAAGAGTGAATAACATTAGGAGAGTAGAAGTGGGAGATGGCACAAAGTAGATACATTGTCTTAGTCGATGCCGTAGTTTCTGGAGATTAAAACATCTATCTTGGGTTTGATTAAATAGAAATCTTCTGGGGCCGAATTTTGTTTCAAAGTGATCAGGGCTGTTTTTCTTTCTACGCCACATCTTCCGCTTTCTTTTCAACACAACGCATTTGACTCCTTTGAATTGAATTATTATTTTCAATTATGGCAAACAAGGCTTCTGGGAGGTGTTTTTGAGACACTTCCAGATAAATAAAAAGGCAGATGTGAAAAATATTAAAATAAAGGAGTTACACTCTTTTACTGCCAGGTTCCCCCCCGCTAACTGAGGCAAAGAAATAAACAAATAGGTGAATAAACCTCAAAGGGGAAAGGAAGCTATGTTCCTTAATTATTCCCCCGGACCCGCAGGGTATTTGAAAGCAACCCGAGCATGACTCAGCAAATTGACTGTGCTGATTGGATATTCATCATGCACACAGTGATGCAGCCAGGGAGCAAACACAGCCAGCCATCATGGTCCAAAAACCTGATTTCTTGCCGCTTTACAGATCCAAACTATTAGTCCAATAACTAATGGCATCGTTATTATTCAAATGTACTTTAAAAACAGCTGATCTTTTGATTTACTTCCTGAATGTGCGTCTAAACATGTATTCAAAGATGGGTTTTTTTCCCCACTGTTAGAATATGTGAGGTCATGCTAAGGCGCTGAGGTGTTTCTGCAGCTCCCTGGGCTGACTTGGAAAGATGTCAGAACAGCTCAACTGATTTGACGACACAGAAATGCAGAATTAATTAAAAATGATTAAAATTTACCCACATGTTCAGTGAGCTGTAACATCCCAACAGCAGCACTTTAAAATGCGTGGCGAAGCCCGCTGGCAATCAAGCTGAGTAGAGAGTTAGCTAATGGATTTATGGTTGACAATTGATTACTCAAAGTGCGAGATAAACAACAGAAACAGTTAACGAAATAAATAGCTGAATGCAAGGTAATGAATGGGTGAAACGTCTAGCCTCTGCCTTTTTGGTAGCAGTTTAAACTTCAACAAACTCACCAAATACTACCAGCTGTATGGACAAGATATCTACAAAAAGAAAAGACTCTTTTATGTCAAAATGAAAACAGATTCTACAAAGTAATGACAAATAATTATAAAATGTCACAAGCATTCACCCCCTTCTAGTCGGTATTTAGTAGATGCACTTTTGACCGCAATTACAGCATTGAGCCTGTGTGAATGGGTTTCAATCAGCCTTGCACAGCTGGAAATTTTTGCCACATTCTTCTTTGCAAACTGCTCGAGCTCTGCCAGGGTGCCTAGGGATCATGAGTGAACAGCCCTTTTCAAGTCCTGCCACAAATTCTCAATTGAATCGAGGTCTGGGCTCCGATTCAGCCAATCCAGAACATTCACCTTGTTGTTGTTAAACCGTTTGCATGTAGCTCTGTCTATACGCTTTGTCTTGTTGTCTGTATTTATTTGACCCTCTACCTTGCTGCCAAAAACCATCCCCGCATCATGATGCTGCCACCACCATGCTTACCGCTTTGGATTGTGTGTTTATGGTGATCTGCAGTGTTTGGTGTCAGCCAAACATAGCGTCTTATTTGATGGCCAGAAAGCTACATTTTTGCCTCATTAAACCAAAGAGCCTTCTTCCAGTTAACTTTATAGTCCTACACATACCTTTTCGTAAAGTCTAGCCAAAATTTAATATGAGCTGTTCCCGTAAAGCTTCAGAGGACTCATGGTCTCCCTTACCTGCCACTTTCTCGCACGCTGACATATTCCATCCATTTTTTATGAATGGATTTAACTAAATCTTCTTGTACCCATTCGCTGACTTATACTTTTCAATAGTCCTTTCTAACTGTTGATTGAAGTGTTCTTTTGTCTTCATGCCGTAGTTATAGCCAGGAGTTCTGACTCACCAGTGACTGGACCTTCCAGATACAGGAGTCTACTGCACTTAGATGAGCTCCATTGCACTAATTGTGTGACTTCTAGCAATTACTGGAATACTTATGCAATCGCTTATTTTAGATTTTAATGAATTTGAAATCTGTTTGACATTAAAAGAGTCTCTCTTTTTTTTTTTTTGCAAATTCTTGAAACAAGGTCAAATAAAATTGACCATGATTCAATGTTGAAAAGCGATAAAAGAGAAAAACTTCTACGAACGTGAATATGTTTTACGGGCCCTGTATAAGCCATTGTTTTTTAGTTAATTGAACACATTTGGAATATGTCTGGTGGGGTGGATGAAAGGAGTACTTTAAGGGCACATCACCAAGAAAAGACTAGGAACCATTGTGCTCGACTAACTCTTCTGTGTGCACATAAGATGTAACGGACCTCCAGAAAAGGTGGAGACCTTCTGCCAGTGAGGAATCAATGCAATTACTGCACACGGCTACGCTCATCTGAGAACGGCTCGCAGCTACGTTAAAGGCAGCGGCAGCTCCTGACGTGCGCGCGGCTCTCCTGACTTGCCTTTTCACAATCCGAACCTCCCGTGTCAAAACAGGACCTAAACTCCCGTCACTCCTCAGAATCACCTTGTCGTCCTCCTTGTCTGACGAGACCTATCGCGGCGTCCTCAAACACACTGATGCATTCAATTTATTCATGGGAAAGGAGGGGAGATAATGGAAGCGCTGAATGTGTATGAGCGGGAGAAGGTGGAGGGTTGTTCCGAGTCGGACGGACACACAGAGAAAGTGTGGGAGGACCAGTGGAGATGCCAAGGTGATGGATGAGAGAGAAGCTCCTCTGCTCACCAGAGTTTGGAAAGGAAGAGTTTAAAAAGGAGACTTTACAGAGAGTGGGCTTATAAATAATGACCCCGAGGTGGAAGCTTCTCCGTTTAGTGTATATGAGTAAAAAAACATGTTGATGTTTGGAATGGAACACTTTGCTTTTAAGCTTATCAGGCCACAATTAAATGATAATGAAAAAAAAAAAAATCCTGCCTTAGCTTTTCAAAAGAAAATTATGACGTCAGAGCGACTTTCATCTTTGCCTGGCTTTCTGTTTTGCTCTATCAGTGAAAGCCAAAAGGCCCGTAATCCTCAGATAAGTCTACTAATCAACTAATACCATGGACAGAGCATAATCGCATCAGCTCACTAATCACCTTTCTGCCTCTGGTCTACATCTACACATTAACAAACACACACACACACACACACACACACGCTTAGTTTTTCTTAAGTATACTTGTACATTAAGTGCATCTAAAGGACGAACAGCGCTAAGCCTGGATGCTATAGACCTGTTGGAATTTTAATGTATTCAGGGTGACTCTGTCTTCCTCACTTCCACAGATATAAACATGAAAGTGCTTCCTTGCAAGACCACACACACACAAATAATTTTTGTGTAAAATGTAATGTAGATTATAGATCTGTTTGCTTTTGGTTATCAAAGAGAGAGAGAGAGAGAAAAAAACATCCTTACAGAACTGATTCAGCTCAGCCATATTCTTGGGGTATCTGGTGTTAACAGCTCTCTTGAAGTTATTCTACAGCATCCTTGGTGAATTAAGGTCTGGCCTCTGGCTGGTTTGAACTAGAGTCCATTTGTTTGTCATTCTGTAGTAGATTCACTTTGATATTTATACTTATTGTAAGGCTGCATCACCCAGCTCCAACTGTGCCTCAGCTGGACAGCCACCCAGACATTATGCTGAAGGATCCATCCATCCATTACCTATCCACCGCTTTATACTGTAGAGGGCTGGAGCTTATCCCAGAGGCTGGAGCCTATTCCAGCTGATAGGACAAAATGCATGCTGGAGGATACCTAAATAAACTTGGGGATCTCTTTTCCCCTCAAGGATGGCGGACTGTCCAGGCCCAGACACAGCAAAGCAGCTTCCTCTGCTGTACTTCACCTCTGGGTTGATGTTTTTATGTTGGTATGCACTGGTATCCTTTATATTACAGTCTAACTTAGTACTGGTAGATCGCTAATATACACTTCAAACACAAGTTATTTAAGTAAAGCCAGTGTATGTGCATTAAAAAACACAATTGTATTTCTGCATCAAAGCTGTTCTTTAATGACATGTAGGTGGTCATGAACCCTATTGTAAAGCTCCAGGCCAGAGAACAAAGCATTGTTTGAAGTGTAGTGTGGTGAGGGTAGAGTGTACTGTTGCTCCACAAGCTCCAGAGGATGGTGAAAACATCTATTCCTCACGAAAATGTTGTGTAGATTAGTTGTAGTACCTGGTTGCTCCACCAGGTGGAGGCTTCTGCTGTTTATTACTCAGACTAAGGGCGGTGCTGTACTGGCAAGCAGAGGGCATTGTGGGGGATTAACCTTTTATCGGGCAAGGAACCATGTATGGTAACTTCCACAGGCTTTCAAAATGACAGAGTGCCAAATCATATGACTTCATCCAGCCAATCAACGAAGGTTAGCTACATCACAACTCAGTCACTACAGCCTCTAACCAATCACGAGTGAGCCAGAGTGATGTTTTGACATAAGTTATAAGTTCCATAAGTCTGACTGGTGATTTGGAAATGAATGTTCCTTCATCTATAATGTGCATTTAAAAAAATAAATAAATAAATTTATCCACATATTTTTGTAATTCGTTATACCCTTGGTAGGTGAGGTGAGGCAACAACTTTGATTTGAAATCTGAAACTTCTTTAAAAAGCCAAACAAGAAAAAATGTTATCTTAAATCCACCAATAGCACTCGAGAGTTGAAGATTTAAAGTTCCAAGTATTTCAATGAGTGCCCTATAAAGGGTTAGGTAGCAGTGGGCCACCATGACGTAGACTTCCTGTGATGGTTAATGGCTTCAAGGCAGTTCTTCCAGGCGCAAACCAGGTCTGACTAGGATGTCTCATGTGTCCTTTAACTAAAATGGCAATGTCAGCAGAAGACAAATGTCAACTGTGCTCAATTTGTGCAATTGTTCAATTAACTGATTATTGACTGGTAATGCTGCAGGTTACTGATAAAGGACGTTAATCAAACTTTGCACCCTACCAACATACTGCCACAGATTGTCCTGACCTGTGTGACAGCGGCTGTAAACAAAGGTTTGGGTTTAGGTTTATGCTGATACCGATTAGTTCAATAATGCCTTGCATGGCCCAGACCTCCACATCAGGTCAGAACATCACTGCTTTTTACACCTCACATGGTGTTGTATGTTCTTCCAAAAGTACTTAGTTAGTTTCATCAGTGCGGAACACATTTTCTAAGCAGCACTGTGGAGCATCAAGGCGATCTTTGAGAAATTCAGGCGTGCATTGATGTTCCTTTTTGGAGAGCAGCAGCTTCCTCTGTGGTGTCCTGCCATGGACAACATGTTCCATGCATGATTTGCATTTAGTAGATTCACAAACAGATATGTTAACCAGCTCCACTGATTCCTTTCAGCTTTTATCTGCTACTCTGGGCTTCTTCTTTTTTTACCTCACTGAGCATTCTGCTTTGTGCTTTCAGAGTCATCTAGCTGGCCGCTCACTTCTAGGGAGAGCGGCTTCAGGACTAAATTGTTTCCATTTACACTCATTTTGCTGGTGGACTGATGAATATCTAGACTCTGGGAGATAACTTTGTAACACTTTCCAGCTTCATGCAAATCAGCTATTCTTAATTATAAGTCTCCAATAGCTCTAATCCACACCGCCAATCATGTTCCATTGATTGAACTCCAGATTCGTAAACTCCTGACTCCAATTAGCTTTTGTTGATGTCATTAGCCGAGGGTTGCACGTTCCTTTTCCAAGCTACGCTGCATGTTTCAGTATGAACAAGAACAATACAATGATTTGTGTATTATTAATACATAGATTGTATTTATTCAGAATTTGAACTTAAGATAACTTTCATCACCAATGCAGATATTTCCATTAAAATTCCAGACTGATAATGGCTTTAGTCGAGATTTCAGAGCTGAGCGTATTCATTTAAAGTGGCCTAATTATTTTCATATGAATGATAAGGTTACAAATATATGCACCGGCCAGGACAGTGCAAAGGGATCTGGCAAAAAAGAACAAGGCAGCGAACACAGAGGAATCAGAGGACAGAGTTCACTAACCTGATGACCTGAAGCTGTTTCTCTGTGTGCGATTTGTGGATATTAACATCAATTGTGACTGCGTGTGGGGCTATTCTGCGTCATTTAGTTTTCCTAAGCTCAAGCCTATCAGGTGTGCATCAGACAAAACTAACTTTCAGGCCAAACATTAAAAAAAACACACACAACTATTAGACGGTAAAAGTGCGACCTTTCCTTTTGCTTGCTAATGGAAAATGTATTGTTAAAAAGGAATCAGCAGCTTCAAGAACCAAACTTTAATTCACTCATCAGCAGCAGCGCTTTGCATTCTGGGTAATTCCACATCAAACCACCTGAAACTTTATCATCAACTCTGAACATTTAGATGGTGTCTGTGATGTTTTGGTTCAATATATCAAATACTGTCTGAGATATTTGGTCTTTTTAAAAATTCCCCAGCACGTTTTAGGATTTTTAAAAAATTTTGTGACCAAGTTTTACACAATAAAAATCTTCTACATGTTTAGTTTTGTATTATTGTGACATGAAGTTGCTTTATCAGTTTTATTGTTAATGTGACGGCTTCATTTTTTTTCCATATTTTAATTCAGCCATAATGTTTTGATCTGCTTGTCCAGTATTACAGATTCTGAATCAATGTTAGACAAGAAATAACAGTGATTTTTTTTTTTTTTTTTTTTTAAAGGAAAAGGTAAAAATGAAAAAATAGAACCATTTCTAGAAATGTGGAGTCAGTTTTCCATGTGTAAAATCAGTAATGTGGACAAAAACAAAGTCTACAAAGTGGTAATTGTGAAAATCCTCATCAGCAGTGAGCAGTATTCTCTCGCTGTGTCTTTCCTTCGCAAGCAGGCAAAGATACAGCAGCAGCATACTTAAGATGATTAGTAACTTGTTGTATGTACCTTGGTAACTGTAGAGATCCCCCACGCTGGTCTGACGCGTGATGTGCTGCCAGTAGGCGCTGCGTGGCAGGGAGATGGACTTGGTTAACGTCTCTCTGGAGTGGATCTGAAACAGGCAGCGAAAGACTCTCTCACTTCTGTCACTCAGTCACAACACGGGAACCGCTCTGCGTGTGTCAGTAAACGGAGAGCGTGAACGGCGGATTGCAGGTTGAATGGCTGCTTGATGGCTGAAATCAGGATTCATTTGGGATCGTGATGTTGTTTCGCCACTGAATGATGTGTTTTCGATTTCTGTTTGCAAAGTAGAACTAAAGGCCCAAAACTAAAAGCTAGAAAACTGATTGAAATAAATTGATATTTTGCAAAAAAAATATAAAAAAATATGCATTTACTCAGTCGTGAACATGCAGTTTCACCCAATCTGCAACATAACTGGTATATTTTGTGTAGCTCGTCATACAATTTATAGAGCTGATGGTAGCTGCATTTGGAAATGTTCCCAAATGGTGGGGTCCAGGAGCATGGCCATATGGTCAAGGCTCATCAAACACTAGGCAGGCCTACATAAATAAAGAATACAGATGATAGCGGGGAGGAGGGGAGGAAGGAAGGAAGGGAAGGATGGCTGTTGTGATGGAAGGAGGTAGCGGAGGCCAAGACCACGGGGTGTCACAGGGCTCGTGGTCCAAAGCGGCAATTTGGAGGGAGAAACCAAGAGAAATGTGTGTTCTTTTGTGTTTGTGTGGACATCTTGTGCGAAAATCACGATTTAGTGCCTTTGCATTCATTGGTTTCTAAAAATAATCCCGCAAACAGCTTCGATAAAACGCTTGTTTGATCAGCTTAAATCAAACAGGCGAAGAAGAAGCCACTGAAATACTAGAGAAACAAGGCATTTTTGAAAATTCGAGTGTGGACAGAAGCAGTTTGTATACACATTTCTCAGTGTTACTTCTGGCACCGCTTGCAACGGGGATATTTTAGCAAGTCTTTTAGAGCGATGCACATTATGTAAGTATCAACAGATTATTCCTAAAACAGTGCCGCGTTCTCGAATGCCCTCATTATTAGCTGTTTTTAATACTGGCAGGAGAACAATACAGTTGTTGGTCTTATCATGTGCAGCTGTGGATGCGAGATAAACAACCAAAAAATGTGCAAATGTACCTGCGAGCTCTTCTCCATCTCCTCCATCATCCTCTCGTGCTGCTGGGCAATGGCCAGCGTGGCCGAGTGGACCCGCTGGTAGATCATCTCCCCCTCCCGCGTCTGGAACGTGAACAAACCCTCTCCTGTGTCACACATCCTGCGCCAGGAACACACACACAGAGATACACTTTGATCATTCTCACTCTTGGATTGCTGATTTACAAATATGCATGGCTGAATGTTTGGTTATAGAGAAAGCACGCTGCTATAATAGCCCACTGAAGTCAAACACGCAGAGACACAAGTAGATACAGTACACAAACATTCACAGAGGCACCTGTCACACTGTCGCCTGAAGGGCTCTGCGGTAAATGTTGATATCCTGGGATGTTGTGGATTTCCAAAGTTGCTTTGTTAAAGTTTTTCCAAAAACTAAGTTTTTTCCCTCCCACTGCTTACATTTCAATCACATGAACATGCACAACGCTAGCATACTAAATCTGCATACACACACACACACACCTCCCGGACTCGAAAGTGAACCAGGTGGAGTCACGACCGTATCTGCGTAGGGAGCTGAGAGGCCACATGACGAGTTTGAGGCGAGCGTTGTGAATGTCCCACAGGTAGATGTTTTCATGGGTGATCTGCATGGTGCACTCCCCGTAGATGTCCAGGTTGGGGGTGGGCATCAGGTACACGTTGAAGCGTTCTGAAAGAATTCACAGTACACTTATTGAGATTTGAGAAACTACTGTTAAATACTGTTAAAGTGAGTATAGACCTCTTCTTACATCCAACATTAAATGAGTGGTTCATCAAAAACTAATTCTCTCTGTGGAACTTAGCATTGCAGATAGTTTTGAAATGTTGAGGTGCATTGTTCCTCTATTCTACGATGGCTTTATATATTGTGCTCAAAACCTTTAAATTATATTCGAAGAGTTCATTTGCAAAAACAGCCAACTCCACAAACCTTCAGAAAACCCACTTTCCCATCGTCTACCTGAGACAATATCAATATTAATCTTAAATTATCTCTATTTTTGTCATGTCATTTCTACTGAGTCAAATCCACTCTACTTCAGTTTGATTGATATTATCTCAAGCAAACAACAAAAAAATACGTTTTCTGAAAATCTACAAAGATGGAGTTATCTGTTTATGCAAATGAACTCTTCATTTGCGGAGAGTAAATAGATGGATGAAAAGCCACATCAAGGCAATAGATTGGGGTGTCACTTTGCTTCCCAATAATTTATGCTTTTTTATGTTTTCCCTTTTCTTCAGTGTTTTATAGCTTTTTTGTGCTGTTTAGAAGGTCAGAAAACCCAAAGTTGAGTTACTCTTCCCCCTGCAGCTCCTCACCTGCCTGAAACACCTCATTTAAAATCCTGGCTTTTCTTTCGTTGCTTATTTATGTCACCACACATTTGCATAATGCCTGCCCAGCAGCTAGTTTGGCTCGTCCTCAAACAAAGAATGGGCAGCTTCCTCGCAGTCTGCCATTATTTCCTCACTAGAACTCATTCTCCTAGGGGTGCATAAGTATACTCAGAGATCTGGGCTTATGGTACATTTTTGAACATTTCTTCGCTTTTGTCAGAGCAGCTGACCAATCAGAGCAGACGGGAGGGGGTTCTTAAAGAGGCAGGAGCCGAAACGGAGCTTAAAAATAAAGTATTTTAGACACAGGATGAGAAGAGATGCTGTGCGAGCAAAGTATGAGAAAAATAATGTGCTTTTAAGCACTAAAGTATGTAAACATATTCTAATAGATGACTAAAAATAAAATGCTAAACCTCTAAATGTGCGTGATGTGGGCTCTTTACAAGGCACTGGCACTTCATGCCTACGCGCTCTGATCAAGCCATGGATTATTTTTCACTCTCTGCTATGCAAATTGCTGATATTGACTGTTAGAGGGATGGAAAGGTTCGATTTTTTTTTTTTAGCCTGGGAGCAATGTAACACACGGTTACTAAAATACTGCAAGAGTATTTATATAAAATAGGTCAGTCTGTGTCAATTCAGGCAAGGAGATGTGATGCTCCACCATCTCAGACTTTGTTCAGCGTTTACTTTGTAATATCGGACCCCAAAGATAAGTTCTGTATAAAAATATGGTTGAATTTTGAAAATGTTTCTATATATATCTTTTGTGGACCTAGGAATTTTTTTCCTGTTTCACTTGTTTCGTTGTTGTAGCCGTGATTTGTTTTTGTGTTGAGAGATGAATCGGTTTCTCTGTTCAGTGTATAGGAGTATTACGTAAGGTAAAATAAGCCTTTTATTTTGTTAAATTTCAACAAAAGGACAGCATGGAAGCAACTTGGAACTTTGCACATATAATGAAAACATATAGACCCCTATGCAGACTGGGTTTTGTGGATCTAAAAATGTGTCCTTATCACCAGTTCTGCATGTCAACATATCAAAAACAAAAACTGGAACCTTGGCTTGCCATTCTTGCCACATCATATTCTACTGATGTTAGAGGCCTCAAAAGTTGCTGAAATGTAGAGCAAGGCTGTTTTTTCTTGTTGTTGTTGTTGTTGTTGTTAGGAAGTATAGATACATCCATATATACACACTTTAAAAAAACTTTCTGGGGCTTCAATACCACCCTTGTTTGAAAGTCTTGCTCTTCTTTCCATTTTCAAGGCCACTTCCTTGTGTTTTTTTTTTTTTTTTAGGGTGAAAATACAAAAACCGGTGGGTCTCAAAACAAAATTCCAAACTTAGTTTTGGGTTCCAAATAACAAATAAGCCAACTCTGAACAAAGTCTGACACTACACACAAATATCACACTCGCTCACTCACTGTCTCACTATGTTGGTTTGTATTTTGTTTGTCCGATCGGTACTCCACTTAACCACGGCTCACTTTAAACGTAAAATTAATTTTCCAACCTATATAGTAAAAGTAGAGTAAAACAGCCCAGATAAAAGGTATTTTAAACAGTCCTTTATCTGACATCAGCTACAATGGGCCCATCTAGGCATCCAGTGAGCTGTACTGGGATCAAGGAGCCAAATCTGCCGGTTCACATTAAACTATCTCTCTGAGGCAGATAAAGAGAGCCAGAGAGACGGAGAGAGAGAGAGTTCTCCATAATCTAAATGAGTTCTCACTAATTACGCTTAATGATTCAAAATAAGCCTCGTGTCTGGAGTGGATAGAAAATGGCAATGTCATGGTGTGGCGTATTTTTAGGGACAGTGAAAATGAACTCTGATCTAATTATCGGCCCCTGCTGTTTGGGGAGGGCTACTAATTGAAATTGCAGGCTAAAGCCTTTTGTTTCATCCACTCAAAGAGGCGGCAGAAAGGGAGTAGTTCAGTTTGTCCCTGTAACACACTGCTGAAACCTTTTGTACGAACACCAAACAGCAGCCGCAAAAAAAGAGGAGAGAGGAACTGTGTTGTTACAGTTCAATTGGTTCACCTTAGTGCAGTCAAAAAAAAAAAAACTTGTGCATTGATATTTTAAATAAATGAAGCCGAGTTATGTCGAGGAGCACAATTTCACTTTACAGCCGCAGTGAAATGAAATGGGTTGAAATGATGGCAGATTCTTTTCAATTACTCGCCCTTTTACAACTTTAAACTGCTCCCTTTTTTTTTTTTTTTTTTTTGCCTGTTGCCTTTTCGATTTCCTCCGCGAGTTTACAAATTACACAGAGAATGAGCTCGACTGTGATAGCAGAGCCCTGTTGTCTCCCCTCTTTTCCATTTCTATTTCCTGTGAGTGGAATATCTGGGGAGGCACATTTATTTCACATGGCTTTAGGAGCCATAATCTCATCCATCTCTATGACAAGCTTCATTATGAGGGAAGCCAGTGATGCACAGCACTTCTCATTAGGCCTGGAACAGAGCCCCGGCCACAGCCTGTGACCTATGTACACACACACAAAGGTTTCCTGCAACACACACATCCCAACTTTACTTCTGAAGCCGAAGCATCATGTGCTAATGTAACTAAAGACTGTAACAGGGGACTTGGAATCAGATATTGACAGAAAATGGCCCTTATTAGCCAGGCTTAATTGGACAGTGGCTGTTCCACTCCTCTAACCCTCTGAGGTCTCAGTTGCTTTAACACATACAGGCCCATACTGCAACAGCTAAGTTCTCGGTGGCGGGCTGAGTGAGAGAGATTGACCCTGAATGGCTGTCTGTGTTAGCAGGGACTAATTGGGCACTCACCGTTCTGCTCCCGCTGCACTCCTGCTGCTAACAGGTCTGGCTCTCCCAGGCTGATGTCGTTGAGACGGCTGCCCAGGCACTCCACGCACAGCAGCTTACACCATTCCTCTGCATCCAGCTCTGCACACAGCCACATAGCGGCACAGCGGTAAGGCATGTCCAGCATCAAACACACTCACACACACACCTCCTCCACACCCGACACTGCATCCATAATAAAACATACCCTCCAGATTATACGACCACAACTGCACTGCTGTTAGTGTGTTTACACATTTGTATGCACATAAATTGCCCGAGGAATTTTCAGAATAAAACGTTGCATGTGCGGGACATGAGTACAGCTAACGGTTGCTGGGATGGGGCAGGGGGAGGAGGAGGAGGAGGAGGAGGCAAATCAATCTGATCGATTTGCTGCAGATTAAAAGAGGCAGCGCGTTCAGCAACATCCAACGACAAATGAAGACTGGGTTTCTCCTCCCTCCTTTGCCAACGCTCGGCTCAAAGGCCCTACAATGCAAGTGGCTCTCCAAGAACAATATGGCCGGGGTCACATCTGAAACCAGCGATCATCTATTCAGGCAATCAATAAGCTATTTTCCAAATTGAATAAGGCCTTTATCTCATTAATTGGAAAGGAAATGTATGCATGAAGCAAGATAATATTTCAAGAGAATGAGTGGGAGAAATAATAGCTTTGGGAAATGCATTTTTTTTTTTTTTTTCCGCTTTCCTGCCGATGTGAAGATCAGTGCTACTCTCATGTGTCTTTGCTAAATAGGAAGCCACAGCTGGCAGCTGCTTGTCTTGGTTCAGAACAAGACTGGGGGGGAAAAAAAACGCTAGCCTGACTTTGCCCACAGGTAAAAACATTCAACACTTTTATCTCATTTGTTTTATTGAGCTTCGGAGCTGCTGGTAGGTGGTTTATCTTCACCTTTGGACCGAGCCAGGATAGATGTTTCTCCCCCTCTTTGTGGTAAAACAAGACCCATTTGGAAGCCTCCCCCAAACCACAATGTTGGTCCATCATTAACAATAATAGGGGAAGCAACTGATAAAACAGGATCCAAGCTTAATTTCAGCAAAATAAAGGTCAGCATAGTAGGAAGCATCAGCAAACTCTGTATTTTTCTTACATAAATTATCTTTATTCAATTTATTTTCACTCCATAGTTTTCCTCCCTTGTCATCCCCGTCCTTCTTGCCCACCGCAGTTTGAAAACCACAATGCTAAGCCAAGTTAACTGTACATCATATTTAGCCAACAAAGCCCACCTACCAGCACCAATTAAAGCCCACTGACTAACATGTTGCATCTTGTTCGTTTAATCTGCGCAAAAACCGAAGTAGAGAAACAACCTGTTGAGGTTTTTTACAAGGAGTTGTGTGCAGGACTGTCGCTTGGCTGGATGTGGTAACTTTTTGGAGTCGTGTAACCAGCTGAGCAAACCGGCTTCAAATTGAATGTACAAACACAAGAGTGGTATCGACCTTCTTAGAGACCTCTGAGCAAGAAAGTAGGTAAGTGCTCCTGTAAGGATTTATTCGAATAGTAGTTTTGAGAAATTCTGGTCTAAGTCGGTAATTATGACAATTATTGACTCTTTGTGAAGCAACAATCTGGGTTTTTAGCAATTGAGCTCTGTGGGAAGTTATGTCTGCTATGCATGACAGCTGGCATTTAAAGAAGAGGGGCATTCATTGTAAAACTGATTTTTTCGTAATTGGGGGCTAAGTGGAGACAAAGGATTTCGTGAATCAAATCTGAAAGTCTGTGTGGCAGTCTGTTATTTGTGAATACCAATTTTCCTTCCTGTTAAGTCAGAAAAAAATACTGTTTACAAGGCAGAAGATTTCCAATTGTCTTATGTGAGCTTTTGGTGAAAGTCACTGAAGTGCGAAATGAGGCAAGCTCCTCAGTTGTTTATCTTTGTGAAGCTCCCTGGCCCTGGGGAACTCTGGGATATGTAACTACGGCCACTCATGTGTGCAGAGACACATGTGGATGTGTGGGTATGTTTCTGTGTTAATCAAAAATCATCGTACGCTTGTGTAACGTGTGCGCGGACAGGTGTTCTCACCTCGAGCTATCTTGCGTAATCGCCGACACACTAAGACAACCTGTTTATCCGATCAACTCTGACAAACATCGTGGATGGGACAGTTCTACAGTACTTTGCGGGGTGAAGGAAAGGTCTGCTGCCGCCTGAAGCGTTTCATTCACACACATGAGAAAGCAGAAATACAGATACACGCATGCATTCAGAGGCAGCAGCAGCTCTGCACTTTAGCTCCTACCTCCTGCCTCCCCAGATTCAGCTTTTCTCATTCAGAGTTACTATGCCCTTTAAGTGCCCCTTAACTCCCACACTTTTTAAGGCCACCGAGTGGAAAATCGGCTAAACAAACACTTGATCAGCACAGAGGCAGCCTGGCTACTCCGTGTGCCATGCGTGAAGACATATGGCGGGGGGGGATGTTTCTGGATGTGAGTGTATAGAGGTGTAGGAGTGTGAGGAGGCAAAAAAAAAAGATGAAGCTGGAGAGAGAGAGAGAGAGCGCACATTTGAGAATCCAGTCAAGATTCTTTGTCTTTCCTTTATTGGCACACTAATATAATAAATACATATCCAGTTGCATTTATATTTTCACAGACCCGATTCAGCTGCAGAATTTAAGGAGTTGACACACTTGATCGTGTTCTAACCAAAACCTCCGGGTCACACTCTCATCTCTCTTTGCGTGTATATTTGTCAGATGTACCCAAAGCTGTCAAAAATGTGAGATTGTTCTTCCTTTGTTTCATTTCTTGTTTCTTTGACAGCACGCTCAAGAACATGCTTGCGTGGAGGTCTCAGAAGGTGACTTTAAAAATAAAATATCAGGAGATCTTCGTGATGCCTGATTACCTCTTTTTTTATTATCAGAAAACAGTCAAAACTTTTTTTTGTCGCATTTGAACAGACATCTTCATCTGTACTCCCACTGTAGTGGAAAGGCCAGATTGGAATCTAATATAGGTGTGCTATTATGCAACCTCACTCAGCTGGTAATATCAGCTCTGGAATACATTTTTAATATAATCACATAATGCTTTAAAAAGCAGAAAAGCAGAAAAAAAAGACCAATTTTTATAACAATTTCCCTCTTGGACCTTAAGGAGTTTAAAAAAGTAACTGAAAATCACATTTAAAAATCACTCTTATTGTGTATTTCTTCTACACTCACTGGGAAGTGAAGTAGTGAAGTTTTTAAGAAGCGAAGGACAACGGGATTCTGGTGGGCACGGGATGATGCGGACATCCGTACGGTGACGTGAGAGGAATGAGAGGGAGGAAGAGTGAGTGATCATGGGAAACAGAGCAGGAGGGAGTTCACCGCCGTAAGCTCAATAATCCCCATCTTTCCAGCTCATGTGCAGACACATGCACACCTGCAAGGCTGGAGTTAAGACTGAGATGTTCCTTCTTGTCAGTTAGCAGCAGCAGGTTACATTGAGGTGAATCCACTTCATCCAGCTACTGTCTTTCTCCACATCCAGCTTTGCACTTAAAGACACCTCAGCCGAGCAGATGATGGGCCTCTTTGGTTTCCTATCCACGTATTAGAAGCAATCTCTCTTGTTACAGTCCATAATTGGGTTGAAACACGCCACAAATTATGCCCAATATCTATTTTCATACCTGCGCTATGAAAATCAATATTTCGGAACAGACCCACCCACTTCTTAATATGGCGGCAAATGAGCATCACTTGGCTAAGCTCCAATTCTCCACCGCATCCTTCACCTCCCTCTTTCTGTTTCTCTTTCGGCCTCTCACTTCTGATTCTTCCTCCATCTCTGTGCAAGCCTTTCAAAAACCACACCTCCAGTTTTCATCTATCAACATAGACGCATGTCTAAAGGAGCGTAAAAAAGAAACAAAAAAACAATAAAAAGAGCCACTTGTAATCAAAGCCTTCCTTGCTCCAGTGTGGCTGAAATAGGCTAATTTGAATTTATGCACGGAGGAAATGGCTCTTACCTGATTCACAGGCAAATGTCTTCGACGTGTCGTCACAGAAGATGATCGCCACAGCATGCTTTTTTGTCTCCCGTGGCATCCGGGTAACGTTCTTGATGTTATGGAGCTCAGTGATCTAAAGAGGAAGGAGAGAGTGGCAGCAGCACATTACCTCAAATGAACACAGCCGCCAGCAGCAATAGCAGCAGCAAGGCTTAATTGCCATCTTGCACAGCTTTGCTGAAAGTGCAATAGTAGTTAGAGGCTTAGCATATAGAGTAGAGTCACAGAGAAAACGGGGCTTGATCTTAGGGGACAAATAAATAATAGTAGTTATTCTGCTGATTGCAAAAAGCGGCTTGAAACGGTAAGAAATCATCCACAGTGTCAGCTTGTTGCAGCATGACGCCTGCCGCAGTGTAATGTAAGTTATTCATTTTAAAAGCACCCTGGTAATTAATGTGACCAGATGCTCACACTGTATACACTGTACATCCATTGTTGGGAGTGCATCTCCTTGAAGCTGCTCCTCCAGTCAATAGGAAGGAGCGCGATCATAAGCATCTAAATCACTTTACCAGGAGATTGATCGTGCATGGGGGGAAAAAAAAAAAAGGAGAGAAGATTACATTTAATTGAATATCATCCGCATTTACAGGCCATTTTGTTCAACAGTCGTCTCTCTGTTCACTCTGCCTGGTAGATAAGGCCCATTACATTATTGTAGTCCATTGTGTGCTAACTGTGGGCCCTTTGCCAGGCTGTTGCGAATGAATTAGCTGGGCTCACTGCCCGTATAGTAAAGCTTGACTGTTAAAGGTTAAAAGACCAGACCTTACGACACACACAGCATATGTGGACTACAGATTTTTTTTCATTCAATAGCGTTACATGTTATGAATTTCCCCTCGACACGCAAGTTCAAGAAGTGTGTCAACAGCAACGCAAAGAAAGAAAAAAAAAAAAGATGAAAAATGCAGCAGAGGCTATAATATTGAAAGATAGCAGATATTTTTCATTTGTTATTCCTTATCGCCCTAAAAGATGGTATCTAAATATTTCATATGAGATACAGTATGTATTTGTCCTCAGGCAGGCGATTCATACATATAACTGACACAAAGTAGCTAAGCTTCAATAGTGGGAATTTCTGAGCCATGACTTCCACCAGCCTCTCATCTCTTTTCTCTGTTTGTGTTTAGTGTGTAACTGTGCATGTTCTCGCCTTTGGTGTTTTTTGTGTATGTGTGTGTGTGTGTGAGGGGAGAGATTTGGGTGCATCCCAGCCTAAGGCGCCAGAGTCCGAGCAAAGTGAATCATTTGTGATGAGACCTATTCCTCATCTCGCCTCCTATTCTTTCTCCTCTTTATTCTTGTTTATTCAAAGGTGCAAGTTTAACCTTATGCGAAGACTGAGAGCTTACAGCCAGGCTTGCAGCTCGCTGACATGCTGCCTTTGCTTGCAAACGTGCTCACAATGACAGTGTTAATATGCTGATGTTAAGCTGATATAACGTTCACCATGTTCACTTTTTACATTTAGCCTGTCTGCTAATTAGCACGGCACACAAAGGGTAGGAGATGCAATTACCGTAATTTCCGGACTATAAGCCACCACTTTTTTCACACACTTTGAACACTGCGGCTTAAACAATGATGCGGCTAATTTATGGATTTTTACAATTTTTATGAATTTGCCTCAACACAAAAGTGACATTGAGCGTGACAATGAAAGAGAGACTGAGGAAGTGTGTGACGAAGTAATTCTGAGGCTGTTCAATTCCAACACTGAAGAAGACGACTTTAGTGGTTTTAGTGAGCAGGAAGAAGATGAAGATAGTGATCAATGACTTTTCCTGCTAGGCTACTGTATTTTTTATTTTTTTAACCAGCTGTGCTACAGGCACTGTTAGAAAAAAAGCATTTACGGTACATATTTGTGTATGTTACCGGGATGTATTTAACTAAAAGTTGAAAAAATCTTTCTGTGTAAATATTTCATGTTACAACGTGGACACCTGCAGCTTATAGACAAGTGCAGCCTGTATATGTACACGCTTTTTTTTTCTTTTTAAAGTTAGTGGGTGCTGCTTATATTCAGGTGCGCTCAATAGTCCGAAAATTACAGTAGCTTTAGAATGCAAGTTCATTTTTAATTTTGCAAATTAGATGATGATGCACAATGGAAACTGAACTGATTACAATATCTCCAGCCAGGGGCACAACTTAATGGACCAACTTTTATCCAATAGTTGTTGACATGCCACTAAAAGCCAAAAACGCCAACCTCCTAGAGGAAAACAGAGGAGATCACCACCTGTTCCATCAGTTGGCTTCATCCTCTAGGGGCTATAAATGTCTTTGCAAAATTGCAAGACAATCTATCCACAACTTGTTAAGATATTTCACTTTAGAACAAAGTGGTGGAACAACCAGCGGCACCAGTGCGGCTCAAATCAACCACTGCACTTCCATGTGTACAAGCTCTGTTTAGGCATTTAAATACGGCTCCATCTTTCCACATTATACCCTCCTCTGTCAGGAGCTCAGGAGAGCTCGAGGAATGTAGCACAGAGAAAAACAAATTCTCAGGGAGCTAAGGATATTGCTAAAAATATTCAGGGGGCTGAATTTTCACTGTGTGGGCCAGCGCTCCTCAGAAAAGAGAAAGCTGCACAAGGAGAGGGGGAGAAAAAAAGTGGGAGAGAGAAAGAGGAAATGGAGAGAGAAAGAAAAAAAAAGAGCCAAAAAAAGCCAATCCTCTTTGTGTTGATTGTGTAAATCAGCCACCAGTGCAGCCTATTTCCCCCCAAAGCACTGCAGCGTTGAATGAAGCCCTCAGACGGGACCTTTCTTGATCTTTGTGGCGATGCATTACCAGGTGCACTGGTGCATGTGTGCACTCATCGCTCACTCCAGCACTGGGTGTATGAGACGCCTCTGGGAGGGGGGTTATAGCCACACAGGACGCCCCATGTGACAGCATGATGTAGTAGGCAGAAAGACGCTTCATTCACAATACATGTCTGATACTGTAGCAGCAAGAGGCGCCAACAAAGTGGATCAAAACACCTACCCAGAATGCATTCTTGGAAGTTGAGGAATCTAGAAAGAAAAATGCAAATTTTCCACCGGAGATGACTCCTCAACTTGACTCATAATCACAAGGTAGTAGAAAGAGCTCTAAATCATGTCTCAAACTATAGCCAAGGAAGAAACCTGATGTCACAGTCCCCTATTATCTGCTGTTATCTCCCCTCATTACGATAAAACACTGTTCACGGTGCTACTCCTTTAACATCATCTCTACTCACCATGATAATGAGCCATAATTGGAGTATTTCAAAGGGCTTAAGAGGCAGAGAGAGAGATATTATACTCCGGATTATTACTTTCAAAAGGGAGGAAAAGGCCCCAGAGGACAAGATAAAGTTGCAGAATGTGTCTTAATAGATCCTTAACTCCATCATCTGTGGCCAATGGGCAGAACTTTTTTTATGTGAAGATGAAAACAAGGCTCTTATCTGGCGCTTGAAACCGCTTAGTGCTTAATTATATCATTTATTCCATAGGTTCAATATTCTTTCTCTTTTAGTGGAGAGTAGAAAACGCCCTGTGAGTAACTCCAACAATAAGGAGTACATTTTAAGAAATCATAGTGAAAAAAATCAATTTATATCACATTTTTTGCTTCTGTATTTTGAAGAAAACACATCTTAGGGCTAAAAACAACTGTTGGCTTCTCATTTTTTAGCGTGTGACCACTGGTGTCAGATTTTATCAAGTGAAGCTAATTAATTCCACCAGTTGGCCAAATTGGAAAATGGTAGTCTTGGCTGTTTTCTGGTAATTGTGCTCTGCATGTCGATGTTGGTAGCATTTAGACTCGGCCAGAGGCTGCTCCCCGGAGAGTGACGAACCGGCTTTAATCTCCTTTTGGTATTCAAGAAGACAAAGAGTGGACAGACAATCTTTAAGACTCAAGTTCCTCTGAGGACCACAGTGGCTTGCTCGTATGGTTTTTTAATAGATCGGTCAGATTATAATAGACTTGAGCACTGTGAAATGGAAATGGTTTTCTGATGAGAGCGTTACACAAAAGGTCAGGGCGTTACCAAATCGTTACGAATCATACTTTGGCGATTATGAATATTGATTTCTACTTTCATGGAGATGTGGTCACTGCATGCCGCATTATCTTGATCGACCAATGAGACGACTGGTATCGGCATTCTTAGACCTCGCCGCTCACAACGAAAATGTCCGTTTGAACATTGGGCTTGCTGAAGCATGGCTTGTACAGAACACAAAATCAAATATCAATTAAGCTGCATAGAGCTCCAAACACTACAATCTTCATATACACTTTGTTTTTACTAGCTCTTAGCACTTTGTAAGTAAATACCTTGCAATATATTGTTTAGAGCTAAATCTATTACTTTTTTTGTGATCGATTAATCTATTGATTCCTTTCTTGACGAGTTGTTTGCTCCATAACATGTAATGGAATAATCAGAAAGACCAAAGGAGAAATTTAGCTCTAGCCAACAGTCCAAAATTCTGTTCCTGATCATAAAAGAAAAGTTAAAACATCCTCACACCTCAGAACTGGATTATTTGTTTTGATTGTTATTGCACATCCTAAAAATCGTTGGCTCCAGCTTCTCAAACGTGAATATTTGCCACTTTTCTTATTTTTCCAAATAGTAAATTAAAGTTTTAGGGTTTTCTGACTGTTAGCCAAAAAAAATAAGACATAACTTTGGGCTGTTAGAAAGTGTGATGGACTTCGTCACCCTACAGGTAGATTAATTGATTAGTTTGGAAAGTAATTGACAGATTAATTAATAATGAGAGACATACCCCTTGCGTATTATGGAAATAGCTACTGATTGATTTACTTCTGCTCATCATACAATTGACTCATTGTTTTATTTTCCAAAACAGATAATAGATTAAACAGCGAATGAAAAAAGAATGAAGTTAACGTTGTGCTCCAGTCATTTGTTTACCTTGTGGAAGCTCCTGAAGTAAGCTGCCTTCTCATCTGGGTACTTCTCTAACCGTCTGGGTCCTTTACTGGAGGCCTTCTTGAACACCAGCCAACACCTCCGGAAGATCTGACAACAGAGAACGATGGCAGCCCCGTTAGAGAAACACAACTCCTCCGGATCGAAGAAATGCATTATGGTAACTGGAGATATAAACTACAGCAGAGCACGAGCTGACTGTCCAGAGAGGTCGACCTGAGTAACCACACAATAAGAGGCCAGGAGACATCAGCCGGACATGAACAGGACTGAAAAATCGACTATTTCTCCCATATCAAAACAAACGGAGCCCCCTTCCTCAAATCCAAGTGCACTATTAACTACCAAAACCCACCTCAGCAAAATTTCCAAACATCACAGCATACAAACTAGGATAGCAACTGTGTATACGTTCTATTAATCAAAACATAGATTGACCTCAGGGCTCATTCGTGTAGTTTATTATTGGAAAGCGCTGACATAAAGTCAATAATACGGATCCTTACACTGATTAAATACTTAAACACACTGATTTCTAAGGGATGTCATTTTATCTACATATAAGGAGCATAATCCAAGGACCACACGCAAGACTTGAAAGACTTAAAAGACATGAATCAAAAATCTCTACAAGTATATTTTTGGAAAAGATCTCATTCAAACCTCATTATACATGAATATGGATAGATATGTCTATGATAGCTGATTGTGCAATATCAAAGGCATCGCATCTGCTTACATTAAAGAACCCGTTGTTCTCAGTTCTCAGACAAATGACGTTGACGAGGAGACACGCTGGACTAATTAGTTGTGTGTTTATGTTAAAATGAGTAGGATTCTTATGAAGTGTCACAAGGCATTTGCACAACATTTTGAATGACTTCACAGGCCCGTGCAAAAGTGGGCTACAACAGACAGACTCAAACAGATTTGCTCAAATAGCTGTATTGTTACAAGTGATGGATTTACACAGACATATCAAATACAGTCATATGACCATAATTAAAAATCTACCTCCTAAAATATATAAGAGCACTTTTAAATCAATCAAGCAATATTTAAATATGTGTTTTAAAAAAAAACAACACACAGTTGCAGTTTAAAATCACAATGTTTTGTTGTTGAGTGAATTTATTTTCTTAGAAGCTTCTACATGAACAAAAACATGAAAAAAGTCCAAACCACTGAAGTAAATCTAATTGGAGCAATTTAATTTTAGCTTAAAAACT